TAACTCCTGAAAAAACAGTAAATACACAGGTATGGACCTAACCAATGTCACCGTGGCAGCATGACTGTGGTGTGTTGGATGGATGTGTTTGTTGGAACCTGCACCCGCAGTGATCTGTGGCGTCAGAGTGATGACTATATTGAGTGGAGAGACAGACACAGGCAAAACGGTACGTAAACCATTAACTGAAGCAGGTGACACTTCAGGCTGAGAGTGAGTGGTTACACCATTGTTCGAGGCTAAAATCTTATCCAGTGATGAGTTCACAGAGACAGGAGAAAACGGTGTCACATTAACCCTGATCTCAGCCTCCATCTCCTGAGTGGAGGTACAGGTGCTGGAGCAAAACAGTTCAGAATCACCCTGTGTATGACCTTCAGGAAGACAAAATTCATATTGTGACATTACGCAGTCCAGGTTACCATGATCAGCATTTATGTTTTCATCTTGACAGGTTAGAGTGAGTTCATGATCGGCGTTCACCGTTTTCAGTTCATTAAACACAAAAGTAGCAGGGACAACAGGATCACTAGTCATGTTACACTTTAATCCATGATTTGCCATTTCTGCAATATCCTTGCTTACTGTGGCTTCAGAGGGCCCCAGAGGTGAGAAAACGCAGTTCTTGAGGTCAGGCTCAGAAACAGATAGCTTAGACTTGGATGGAACCTCAGACATGGTAAAAGACACAAAAGGAAACACCTTCACCCCACTACTCACACTATTACCCTGAGAATCAGTGGAAGTCTCTTTCAGTCTATGTGTAGATTTTGTGGTCCCTACAGGATTGAGTGAAGCAGTCATGATCGACTGAGAAGGACTGTCTCTAGCCTGTGGCTTGGTGAATAGCTCATTGCCAGCCATATCACCGGCTAAGTCTGTAGTTACTTCACATGCCGTCCGCTCAGAGGAAACTTGGCTTGACAGATCAGGTTCACTCACCTCTGAGCATCGGGTGATGCGGTGACGACGCGAACGCCGTCTTTTCTTGGCCGTGGGCCCCGTTAACGTGGAAAGTGGGGCCTCCTGCGGTGACGCAGAGGCTGAGGAGGCGAGTGTTGGCGGAGCGTCAGGCGGGAGCTCCTGGCAACTCCGGGGGCCCCCAAAGGCCAGGCGTGTCCCGCGGAAAATCTCACCGTAGTGAGGAGAGAGCCCTGGCTTCCCCCGTAGCTCCTCCTCCAGTTGCGCGCATGCGGCGCTCTGCCGCTCCTCGAGGTCGAAATCCGTTACCTCCACAGCCTCCTCGTGTCGCTCAGAGGAGGGCGAGACATGCCGTAGCGATGAGCGACGGCGACGTGAACGCCGCTTCCGTCTTGATGTGGACGCGGATGGAACTTGGGTTTCTGTGGCGACTGGCTCCTCGTCTTCCGACCACATCCGCGCCAGA